ACAAATCTTGATTAGGCAGCCCAGAAATCTCATTAAAAAGTAAGTCTACTTTTCAAAGTCTTTTAATAAAACCCAAGTTTCCCTGAGTTGCAGCAATGACATACAAACAACACATTTGCTGCTAGTTACTGATATAATGCTTAGGCTGATCAAAACTTTTCCACGAATTATCTAAAATTGACATACACGTGTCCCATTAAGTTGACAACTTTACGAACTTAATTGTAACTGTAAAACCATTTGTTTCTGGGAAATTGGATAAATTGAAAAGAAAACTTTCCATAAGATTTTTTTCTGTATAATGTCTCTATTTCAAGATGAAGGAAAATAAGATTTAAATTGGCTGCTTCCAGAAGAAATTTGTTAGTTTCATTTGAATCATCGGCAGGAGTGCAGGACATTTCAACAATCAAATTTCATTTCAATAGTAAAATATCATTCAAGATTTAAAAAAATGGTGCCATTAGCCACAAGTCGACTTATGTTGACCTGGCACTGTGTGTGTCCTGCGGGCGATTCAACCAACGAATGGTTGAAATTAGCTCACGTTCCGTTCATTTCGTTGATTTTAATAGCACAATGGAGTGCGGTTGCATCATCTTTCGCCTTCTTTATGAAGTTCATATCGACTGATTTAGAGACCGCTCTTTATGCAGTATTTCAAATGGCAGCTTTTTCGCCCGCCGTGTATTCCATTTTCGTTACACTTCTTTTGCGGCGTGACATAAATGATCTCTTAGATCAACTGTCACAGTTCTACAGAGGTTTGTTCTTTTTTTGTTTCTAAAAGATGAAAGTAAAATAAATAAAACGAAATATTTGATAAAAAAATTCAGACGCAAGCGACGAATCGTTTCGATTTTTGGCACAGGCAAACAATCGAAGCGAAAAGATTTGGAAGTGGTTCTTTATGTTCATCGTGTCAACAAATATCGGTATCATTTTGATGTGGATAGCATCGTTGATTATTTGTCGGATTTCACATGGATATTTTGATACGAAATTTCTCTTACATCCATTCAAAGTATCGTAAGTTGTTGAAATATCCTTAACCTCCAGTCTCGCTGCGATACTGTCGCAAAGCCATCAATGATGGGCCATCATAAAAATATCACTCTATAAAATTTCGCCTTAGTTTTTGTGTCTGTTTATGAACAATCAAGATTTTTTTCTCTCAGCTTGCCTTGGAACCAGAAAACTCTCATTGGATATATATTTGAATTTCTTTCTGAATTTGTGTTTTCCTGCTCTTACTATTATTCCAACGGAACGGTTGTCATCCTATTTGTGTCCATCTGTTTACACCATCAAGCACATTTCAAAATATTTCAAAAGTCCTTAACTAAACTAAATGGACCAGGTGAAAACCGAAATGATGCGACATTACTCCGTGCATTAATCCAATTTCATGGCTCAGCTATGAAGTAATTATCAATCGAAATCAATATTTTGAAGGGAAATTTCAATTGATTTCAATCATTTTTTTTCAGTTGGTTCATGGCGTCAGCTCAAGTACACAGTGGTTATATATTGGTTCAATTGCTCTGTAGCATGCTCATGATGGCATGTGTCATTTTTCAAATGGATTTGGTAATCGTTGAGATTAATTGAAAAATTATAGGGATAAGTTATTATTTATAAGTTTTATAAGTTTTGAATTCGAATTCAAAGTAATCTTCATCATAGCAATTGATGATAAGCTATAAAAGTCGAACAAACTTTGAATTATTATTTCATTTCTTTTCCTTTCTTCAGGCATTAAAGCATTTGGATTTCGGCTTCTGCTTTATGTTCATTGTAGTCATCATCAGCGCATCAAATCTATCGTTATGGTGTTACTTTGGGACCTTGGCTACCGAAAGTTTCGAAAAAATGGCCTTATGTTTGTATGAATCCAATTGGCTAGATCTCCCGATTCATTTACAAAAATATTACGTTATTATGATTGCCAACGCACAGAGACCACTTCTGTATCACGGTTTTGGTTTCATCACCCTGAATATGAATACATTTGCCAGAGTGAGTAGGATTTGAGTTAAAATTAGAAAAGATTTAAATAAATGTGATTTTTACAAAACGAATGATTGATTTGCTGTTTCGGGGAAAATTTCAATGTTCATTTTTTCGTTTTTCAGCTTCTCAAAACTGTGATTACTTATTACATGATGTTCAAGTCCATAACGGCCGAATGAAGATGTTACCATATAATGTGAATATATTTGCTTTATCTGTATCGGTTGGCAAACAAGCTGCTGATAAACGTTTCCAGCTTAGCAATGTTTATGATATTATAGACCCATAATATGAATCGTTACCCATGTGGATTTTTTTTTTACCAAGTATTCGGCCGATTAATTTTGGACATTTGGCTGGCTAATGATTGACTAAAACTGATTATATCGAACAAAATTTACGACTACAGTCAACTTCAGTTATAGTATAGTATAGTAGTTCCTGGTAGTTACTTTTCAGTCAAAATATCCGAAATTAGTTGTCTAGCTAAAAGAATAGCTAAACATGATTGTTTCTATACGTTTTTTTAAAAATTCAATCAACTTAGCTAACCTTACTTGTTTGCCGCTATAATTGACAGTCTACGTCAATTTAAAGCCGTGAAGCTATTTTATTTCCACACGGGATATCAATTTGGATTGTTTGTATCCAAGAAAATCATTTGCATCAAATAGAAAAATAACTCAATTGTGAAACGATTTTCAAAGGTTAAATTAAGGCTCGAGCATTGAAGAAATGGAACATTCAAATTGCTGTATGAAAATACTCTATACAACTCGTGCCTTCATGTCATTAAAGGAGAATTATCCATATTAATAAATAAGGATGCCTATCTTTAAAACGCAAAATAAAGATCTTCGAAATACTGACGCATTTGGACCGACAAAAGACCGTTGTGAATAATAAATGTATTGAAGCAAACATTTGAGTTCAATTCGTATGGGATTTGGATTTTCAGGTTTTAGTTGTTTTTCAGCCTTTTCAATCACTGCTAGCATTTCGAAGTTCCTCTTAAGTGAAAATGGTGCCATTGATTACGTGTCAACGTATGTTAACTTGGCATTGTGTTCGACCTGCAGATGCTTCTACGAGCATATGGACGAAAATGATATATGTTCTCTTCATTTTAGTCATTTTTATTTTGAATGTTTGTGCTGTTCTTGGTTTCCTCGCATTCTTTCTGAATTTCGTTTTGGTCGATTTTGAAATATCGATCTACGGATTTTTCCAAACAGTCGCTTATTCAGGCATAATACATTCGATCATCGTTACAATTCTATTGCGTCGCAAAATAAATGATCTCTTTGAACAGCTGTTGGAACTCTACAACAATTGTAAGAATATTTTCTACTCAAATATATT